TTGTCTTGACATACCTGGGTGTAATCTTCGTCTGCAGAAGACATGTCTATCAGTAAAATCACCAGCAGTCCAAATCCATTTAGCTTCACTGGCTATAGATGTTGGTTTGTTTCCCCAGTCGCTGTGTGTCTGTATAGTGGCGTCCTGCCAATTACTATCATCAAATCTAATAGATAAACATTAATTAAAGGTTAATAATGCTGACACACTTATGACACATGTAGTATTATATTACAAATATTAACAATATTAGCTCTAAAACGGATGCAGTGCAAACCAACCTAGTCTCAATAAGTGGCCATCCTTGAAACCCAGCTTCCTACCCTATTCTATCCCGAAATCAATTAAATCAGTAGATAAATCATTACCGTTTTTAGGTGCATTAATCAAACGGTACTTATTACCAATGACATGTTATTGTATTGTATATCTTCAGTTAATTTATATAGCAGTTTTTTTTAGATATAAATCCTACCCTAATTCTTTCCAGCCTTCATCGTCTGAAGTTGAACATCTCCATGACGAATCAGTAACCACCCCATTACTAAATGAACCTCGAATTCCTGCGATCACACCTTCATCCCGACAATCGAATGCCAGAACATGTGCTGTATCCGAAAATGAAACTGGAGAACCGACTTTCCAATCGTTTGAACTTGCTTCAAGCTGACCATCAACAAAGAAGTTTAGGATATTATCACATGTGACTGATCCAGATATATCATCGCCATTTACTGAAAGTATAATCAATATCAATATTAGGTGAACAATAATGGCACATATACATTGAAGTTTGCTGTTCAAGTTATTTCCTAGAGATAAGGTATCTTCGAAGACAATCTTGTTTTATGAGTCGTCGGCCTAACAAAACAGTTTCAGAGCTATGGTAATAAACAGGGTGGGTTTTAAATCCCAACCAAACAGAGTGAATATAAAGGAATAGATAATCACTGAATGGAATGTTGATACTTGAGTGATTGTGTATATAAAAACAGTAAACCTCAGGTAGTGTTCAATGTCAGGACAGTGGCGACGCCCGTGTCTTGGAATATATTTTTAATTTTTGACGTTGACGTTGACTTTAACTTTTGTAGGATCAAAGGTCATTGACCTTGGTTATCTATATGTATTTTCATATTTGATGTCCGACGAAAGCTTCCAGTTTTGTAGCCGTATGTATTTTAAAAATTTGATGAGTTCTATCTCGTGACCTTGACCTTTTTGACCTTCCCCCTTACAAGGTCAAAGGTCATTGACTTTGACTATTCGTTGATACTTTCATTTCAGATGTTTGACGTCTACTTTCACAGCATTCGAAAGATTGAAAATGTCGTAACTGTAGATTGTTCTGGCATGTGACCTAATTAACTCAGAAATAATTATTTCGTTTTAACGAAATACCCTATGTTTATTTCGTTTAAATTCGTTTCTCATATAGAGAAGGTTGCGTTTCGTTTAAACGAAATAATTATTTCGTTTAAACAAAATAATATTTCGTTTAAACGAAATACGTGATATTATTTCGTTTAAACGAAATAATAATAAAAAGTGTTGAAAATTGCGCTTAAGGAGTAGTATATGTCTTTTCGGATATGACGCATTTCACTTCTGCGCATGCACAGCTTTTTCAATGCGTATATCCGAAAAGACACAACTGCTAAAATGTATTATAACATACACCCCAAATTGTTAAAATGTATTATAACAGACTCCCCGAACTGTTAAAAATGTATTATAACAGACTCCTCAAACTGTATTATAACAGACTCCTTATAAATTACCCAACCACACAAGATTCACTAAAATAATACAGTATAAAATAACCGCATTAAAAAAATAATATGTCTTTAATTTTAAAACACAAACAAACAAAAATTCGAAGGAGACGGTTTCTTCTCTGCGCTAACATCTCTCATCCCCAAAGCTGTCAACTTTGTCTCAAACAACAAATTTCCTCAGGAGAAGATATAGGCGATGCAGTGAAAAGATCTAACGAGTTGAAAGAATTACAACATATAAGAGAAATGCGAAATAAAAACCTCAACTGATTATGGGAGCTACCACTGTTTTTTTGTTTATACACAGTCTAGAGTATTATTGATTTAATAAATAGCTTTAACGCCTAGTAACAATCACTCTTCTATTGTTGACTGGATATATGTCACGCTATAATTAACATATCACGCGTGCAACGTCAGCACAGACAGTCTAGACTCTCAACTGTTAGCAGTGTCTCAATATTTGTTGAATTGTTGAATTTAATCATACAAAAATCAAGGTATGTTCTTTTTTATTTGATTTAATCATAAGACGACAGGGTGGAATTAAGATTAATTTGCTGTTTTTTTCAAAATATCAATTTTTGTTTTATTCCAGTTTAATAGATGCCAACATTTCACATCACGAAGAATATTTAAACCATCGGTAAGGGGATAGAAAAAGGCCAAGAATTTTTACCAAACTCTGTGACAAATATCCAAGGTTTCAAAATTGTTGATACAGATTTTCGAAAAGTGGTGAAGAACAAAGGATGACGCATATCTAGCGATCCTAATAAGAGCAGTTGTGACCTTTACATTATGACTGCCAATAGTGTAAGACGGGAGATTACTATGACCGCTCTTACTAGGATCGCTCGTGACCTCATTTTTCAAACCGCTCTTATTAGGATCGGTCGTGACATTTCATAAAGTGATTCATTTCTATTGCTTTCTCCTGTATTAAATCTTTCGTATTAAAAATATATGGTGTTTATTTCATTATTGAACAAATATGTCTTTAATAAATGTCCATCCTCCTAAAACGTATTTCGGTGCGGAAGACATTCAAAAGTCATTGGGTTCTCTTCCTGGATTCCTATGGGCAAAATATCCCGCAGAAAAACATCTCCCAGGGCACAATTATACAGGTCCAGGCACGAGATTAGATCTGCGTTTAGACGAAAATGATAATCCCAAACCAGGGGAAGAACCCGTTAATAAAGTTGACGCAGCAGCGCTCAAACACGACATACTGTACAGAAACAAAGACATAACATTCAGACACCAAGCAGACAAACAAATGATAGACGAACTTGAAAATATTCCCAATCCCACTTTCAAAGAGAAATTACAAAGGTCTCTTATCATAAGACTCTTGAAGGCAAAATTGAAATTGGGTATGGGCATAGCAGACGAGATTCACAAAGAATTTCGAAAAAACAAACATTACCTCAAAGTCAAAGTTTTTGATAAAGATGAAATTTGGTCAGCCGATTTAATCAACATGCCAGTCGAGAGAGGGTACAAGTATTGTTTGACGGTGATCGACATATACACGAGATACGCTTGGGTCTTTCCCTTGAAAAACAAATCGGGTCTGACTGTCAAACAAGCATTCGAAACCATAATGAAACAATCCGACAGACGACCACTAAAGTTGTGGGTTGATAAAGGAAGCGAATTCTACAACAGAAATGTGAAATCTCTGGGGTTTGAAATTTACAGCACGCATAACGAATGTAAGGCCGTAGTGATAGAAAGATTCAACAGGACTCTTAAAAGCAAATTATTCAAGAAATTCACGGAATTGAAATCTCAAAAATGGCTTAAAATATTACCGGTTGTTGTCGACGAATACAATAACAAAATACATTCGTCTATAGGTGTGACGCCATCCCAAGCCTCTAATAACCCGAATATCATAAAGTCCGTCAACACTCGAAACAACTTTGAAAACGAGATTAGCAATTTGAATATTAAACCCAAATTCAAAGTTTGAGATCGAGTTCGTATTTTTAAATATAAATCATTGTTTCAGAAAGGTTATGTCGGGTATTGGACTAACGAGATATTCATCGTTGATAAAATAAATAGCACATCACCTCCCACGTATGAATTGATCGATCAAGACAAAGAACAAATCATAGGAAGGTTTTATCAAAATGAACTTCAAAAAACTGACTTTTAAAAATGAATCTCGAAAATGAAGATTTAGATGAAAGATTAAGAAATTTAGATGTCGACAAGCATTTACGCTTTCTTAAATTAAAATTTTTTAAATTTCAATGTAAATTTATCTTCAAAATATTATTGAATGTGTTTTATCAGAATGTTATACAAGCTTTTTCAAACACAAACTACGTATATATTTCGTCAATTGGGTCTTCAGCAATGCTTACCGCATACTTCGAAAAAGATAACACCTCAAAAAATCAACTTGAAAATGAATGCGTTTCTCGATAAACACGGGGAAGACACGACCTCAAACTTTGAACTTGTGAAATAGGCCAAGGAATTGAACGTCTCGCCGTTTTATTATTGCATGCGAGATGAAATTGATGAACTGAAATACAAAAAAGATAAATTTTACGCCATCACAAACATTCATAAGTCGGATCAAAAAGGAGTTCATCACTCTGCTTTACACAAAGATTCTTCGAATAACTTTTATTTCTTTGATTCTTTCGGTCTAGAACCGACAGAAGAGATAACGAAATTGACTAGCAAACCAATCAAATGTTCTACGTTTCAAATTCAAATGCCAGGACAAAAGCTGTGTGGACAGCTGCCACTTAACTCGATAAAAAATGGCAAACAAGTTTGGATTAGGGTCTTTACATCTATAATCTAAAAATCCCATGACAAAGCGAACCCTTTTTTCGTGGATCAAATCGGAGACACCTTACAAGGGGATATCGATATGAACAATTTCAAAATAACTAATTTAAAGTTTCCAGGTAACGATAACGATGCCGTGAACAAGAAATATTTAAGGACCAGGAAATTGAAACAAAAAATGATAAATATGTAGACCAATTTAAAATGCATGTACTAAATAATAATCAAAGATTTAGATATGATATTGGAGACGAAAAATCCACCATCACTTATAATACCCGGACACACACTCGAACCAATAGAATCGAGCAGTCACGAGTTTTTACGAACAACAGACTTTGAATACGTAAAACTGTTTTTTGTTTTAGGTGGAAAATACACCTTGACCGATGTTCATAAAAGTCAACAAGAAAGAGAGTTTATAGTATTTTTATCGTTTGGCGAAGACTTCGAGCTTAAAGTTGGTGGTTATAGTTGTAGAGGCGAGATAAAAATTGAAAAAGAAAAAAGAAAATATTCCTATCATCTTCACGAGGACCATACGAAAAAAGAAATGTCGTTAGTACGCGTAAATGTTTTTATTTTGAATATCCAAAAATATAATAATGTTAGGTTTCTCGAAAGGTTTTGTTTATCGGAAATTCACTTAATTTAACGACTTAAAAAATGGAACTCGAAAGCAGACAACAATAAAATGATAGACAAACAAGAAGAGTTGAAAATAAAGTTAAGACAGTACAATTCATGCAGGAAAACATGGAGTAGAATCGATTCTTTTTTCAAAACAGCGAGCACAATTCTAACGGTAGGAGTAACGGTGGCAACGGCCGTGACGGGTGGATTAATGCTTCCGGTCATCGTCCCAACCGTATTGGCTGCATTAACATTCGTTCAAACGACCTCTTGAGGCCTCATCACTTTAGGCTTCACAAGCAAAAAGAAACCTCATTATAAAAAGAAAACGGATATCTTGAATATGTATCTTAATCAATTGTACATCTTTTTCGAAAGATCGAGAGAAGACAAGAACATAACAGTTGAAGAATTAAAAGAATTCAATGAAATTCTGGACAAATTCCATACAGAAATATCAGCGGTCAAAATAAAGAAATAATCAAAATTATATACTTAAAAAAATATGAATAAAATCGAACACGATGAAACATTGATAGAAAACGTCCTATTTTCCGATGTTATCAAGGCTATCTCTGATAAATTTAAAACATTCAAAGGACAAATTGAAATAGATGGAGAGATAGTCGAGGAAGGGAATCACAGTCAATACATGTCACTCCTCGGTTTCAATACCAAAACTTTTCAGAACATCTTTTCAAATATAGATTTAAAATCCGATGCTTCCGATTGGTATTTTACAGGGAAAATAATTTTACGTAAAGACAATTTTATCGAAATAAATAGATCGAGAGTTGGTAGAGGAGGAACTGATCTACTTAAAAAGATAAATGAATACAAAGGTGAAAATTGTTACATACCTACAGATGGTCACTGTTTTATCAAATGCGTCAATCGTGTTTTGAACAAAGATTTAACGTATACATTTCAAGAATACATCAACGGGTTTTCAAAAGCAAATAGAAAAGGAGTAATGACTTGTGCTAGAATGAAGGAACTCAATAAGACATTTAACACTTCGTTTCAAAAATATAATCCCAAAAACAGACATTTACATCCCAGAGACGTTCACGATGAATTAGATTGGGTTTTTTACTGACACAACTCGCATTTCTGTTTAATTAGAAGAAGCCAAAAAAGTTTGGGAATTCAAGAAATAGAAGACAATTACGAACAGGTGTGGAAAATGTGTAGAGACGATAACGCAGTAACACAGGTTTCACCTCTCAAACTAAACGTCAGAAAAAGACACGCGAAGAGCAATTCCGTATTGTTTCACTTTGGTCAATTTGGAAAAACTAAGAAAAATATTGGACAGAATAAAACGTATTTCTCCAATAGATGATATTCCAAAAGAATTTTACAACAAACTAATGACCAACGTTGTTGAAGCATTTGTGGGTCTAGACTGCATTGATCAAATGTTGAAATATTTAGGTCAATATGATAGAAAGAGATTAATATTAATTTCTCACAGCGGCAGTGGATTCCGCAACTGGAACTTTGACGTGCTTAAAAACACGTCAAAGTTGTCAAAGTGTCCACTGATAACGCAGAGGGGTAATTTGTCTTTACCTATGTCTAATCCTTTCACCGATAAAGATTTACAGAAAAAATGGAAAAGACAGAAAAAAATAACGAGCGATAAAAACTATTTGCAAAAAATCAGTTTCACGTGTTCCTACCAACATGAAAAATCTCGTTTGGCTGCATGGGGAAATTCGTCCAATCTTCCCGCGAATTTGAGAAAGATTGCCGACGTAGATATTGCTAAATACACCCAAGACAATTGGGAGGAATTGAGAGACGAATGGGAACCTTACGCCAAGAGAGACACTCTCTGTTTGGGAGCTTGTTTGATAAAATATAACAAAGTCATGAAAGAAGTTGTAAACCAGAACATATCTAATAATCTAACGGCTCCATCTTTATCTTTAAAGGGTTGGTATTATTTATATCATCACGATAAAGAAATGGTGGAAGAAGAATGGTATGAAACTACTAGAATGGTTCCGAAACATACTGAAAAAGAAAATATAGAAAAAGTTTATTCACACACTAATCCTTTTATAAGAAATTTTATCAGACGATCTATTAAATGAGGAAAAGTTTCGGCAAATAGAAAATCATTTAAAACGAACAAAATGGACAAAATTTGTAATGTATTAAAGGAATATACAGAACTTGAAAGTAATAACATAATTGATTTATTCAAAGAATACAGCGTAAGCACAAAAGACAAAACGGAGGTTCATTCGAGACTTAAAAAAAATAAACTGCAATAAACTAATGCATTTGATGCTAACGGTTTATACGCTTCAGCCATGTCGGATTTAGACAGTGAATATCCGAGAACGGAAAGTGGAAGACCGTTTCTACCAGAAGAAGAAAAAACATTTGTAAGACTCTTCAATAAACAAAAATTCAGACCTAGAACAGCTATTTTAACAGTGTGGTTTGACTATCCCAAAAACATGTTCTTCCAACCGATACCAGCTAAAGATAAAATCACTTTCACGAATAAAGAAGGTAAAAAGAAAATGGTTTCTGTCACGACGTTTTAACATCGGTTGATATTCAAGAAATAGTGAAAAAGTGAATATTAGAATATTAGATGGTATAGTTTAAGAAGAAAATTTTAAAACTCCACCCTATAGAGATTATATTTTAATTTTGAGAGATCTAAGAAATAAATATAAATTGATTCACGTGTTAAAACCTACGAGAAAATTAATGATACTCAATATATTGTTGAAACAGAAATTGAAGAAAAAGAGACCGAAGATAGTAAATCTACACGACTAACACCTAGTCATTTGGGATCATTCGTTTTATCTCACAGAAAAAAAATAATGAACAATTTCATTCACGTCATAAATGGATTTTATAAACCCGAAATATACTATACCGACACCGATAGTTTGTACATTTCATCGAACAATTGGAAAAAACTAAACAGAGCTGATTTGGTCTCCGAAAAAGACTATTGCAAAGGTAAAAACGATTACGGTGAGGGTGGAATTATATTTGGTTTATATTTAGCACCAAAAGTCAAATACAACATCGTTTTGACTTCTGATGGTGTTTTAAAAGAAAAGAAAACATTTAAGGTTATTCTAATGATAAGTGTAGAAGATTACGTTCAGTTAGCAAGCGGGCATGATGTGTCGAGTGAATTTAAGAAACCATGGGAAAAAAGTTTCACCAGTGGAGTAGTTATTCCAAATGATAAACAAACTAAAGTTATTTGAATAATGTTAAAAGAAAACCACCAAACAGTGAAGGAATTATGTATCCTTACAACGACAAAGATGAGTATAGTTTTGATGAAAACTATGAATTTGATGATTTCGATTGTCTTACTATTCAAGAAGAGAATGAAGATTGTTTTAAATGAAGTTGAATGACAATTTCTTCGTTGCCAAAGTATATGAACCTGTTTTTATCGTCTTTGATTTCCAGATTTATATCTTTGATCATGAAAGAATTGACTGGCAAATAGGTCGTTTTAAACGGTTTCTCTATAATTCTGTATCCGATCGGCACCGTAAAAGTCGGTATGCTGTATACGATTTGGCGTTTGTGCTTGTTGAAAAATCCACCGTTGATCAAATTACAGTGAATGTTGATCACGTCGATGTCGTTCTCGATGTTGGCCTTGTGCGGCGCCAATGTCGATTGCGCGTATATTCGTTTATCGAACCCTAGTAATGCATTCAACGAATTTTCTACGTTGAAATCGACTTGACTGTTATTTCTCAAGATCAGTGTTGTGGCCAAAATAGTATTAATAATAGAATAATAGTATTCTAGTGCTAGGACTATTCTTTGTGACACAATTTGGCCTGTAACTTGTATTTTTTCGTGTTGTAAGGGAAACCCCCTTTTCCTGCATGGTGATTGGTAACTGGTTTTTAAATATTACCTTAGACCTTAGTGAAGAAATAAGAACTGAAATTAGTTTTTGAAGCTAAATATTATATTTTATATACAAAAACTTGTAAAATTGTATGCATGTTAACTCTGTTTATCTTTTTAAGGTGTATTATCTGTTCATTGTCCGTTATTATGAATCAATCAAGTGATTTACAGTTATGGCTTTCAGCTGCTGACTCCAATGTACGCTCAGGTAACATAAGTTTAGAAACAGGTAGTTTCAGTTATGGGACACCGAATGTTCATAACGATATCACTCCAGATGATAGTATATCTCAAATTGGGGGGTCTGTTAGGTCACATGCTCAAAGTAAAAATAGTAGGCGTTCTAGAACTAGCTCCATCCAACAACAAAGGATTATTGAAGAACAGAGACGATTAGAATTAACTGAAAGAGTTGCTCACCTAAAACAGAAACAAGATTTGGATATGAAATTGTTGGAAATACAGTTGAAAAAGGAAGAATTACAACTAAAAACTGATATGGCTGTAGCAAATGTCAGAAGCAATGTGATAGCAGATATAGAACAAGATATGGTCAGTAGAACTGGCAGTAGAAGAAATTACGGTTCACCATCTACTACTTGCAGAGAAGAGAAATTCAGACCAAACTTAATAACTTCAACACCCTCTAACAGGATTCCTGAACTAACTCCTTCGTTTCAACCACCAACTAACGGAAGGAATAACTCCTTCAATTCTAATGAAGATGCTATGTTAACAATGGTGAGAGAGCTTAAGAAACCACAAATTGAGATTAAGAAGTTTAATGGTAATCCTAAAGATTACAGGAAATTTCTCCGTCAGTTTCATATGCAGATTGAAAATAATACTGTCTTAGAAGATGAAAGAATGAACTTTCTAGAACAGTTTACCACTGGGGATGCTAATAAAATTGTGGCCGGATACAGTCATTTAGACGCTAATATTAGGTATCCCGCAGCACTTCGAGAATTAGAAGAGCGTTACGCAGATCCTCAGCTGATGGCTGTTACTTGTATGAAAGAAGCTTTAGAATTTCCACAAATCAGGTCAGATGATGCTAAGATGCTAGATGAATTCGCTATTTGTCTTAGTGAATGTGAAATGGCTGTGAAAGGTTTAGAAGAGACCAATATACTGCAGTTTTCACAGAACTTACAGAAACTTCTGAGTAAATTACCATACAGATATCACGATAGGTGGAGATCTATAACTGAAGGAATCAAAGCAAGTCATCGTTCACCAAGTTTTCATGATTTGGTTTCTTTTGTTAAAAAAGAAGCAAGGAAGATGTCTGATCCTATTTTTGGAAAAGAAGCACTTCAACAGGTTAACCAAATTGAATCAAAGAAAAGGGACACTAGGTCCATACAGGGAAATGGTCAACAGAAGTATTTTCGGAAAATATTCTGATTACAGATCTAAGGGAAGTTATGCTACAACAACTTCAGAAGATAATGGAAAATCAACACGATTTACTAAACCGAATGCCTCAGAGTATAATTCAGAAAGCCGTAAACAGTATTATACAAGTAGATGTCTAGAGAAACCCTGTCAGTATTGCAATAAATCAGATCATGCTGCAGAATCATGTCCAAGATTAGGAGATAACCCTTCCATGAAAGGATTGA